ATTTAGCACAGCAGTGTTTATATTATTAAATCATGAAGTAAGAAGACTACCTATACTTAGCTTAACAAGTACATGCTTGATTCTCAGAAAGCAAATAATTACATTAAAAATTATGCTAATCTCAGGTTCATTAGAAGAAATGAGATTATTTTAGTACTCTCACTATTTTATATATATGTGATCATAAAGTTATCTGAAAACAGTGTAAACCAGTGGTCTTCTATTCTTCCACCCATGCAAATCCACTGGAGATCCTGGATGAATGTCTAGCATTTTCAGAGCCTTCATACATTTTTTAGCACTGAAAATAACTTTTCCATTTATGACTATAGTCATGAAACAAGATCTGGAACATGTCTCACTGACAAAGGTCTAAAAGAAGGCAAGCTGCCCAAAAACCAAGGAGGCAGCAGGCCTAAAAGCAATGGAATACACTGTCCTTTTTTTTTCTGTATTTAGTAACAGTAACTGAGCATAGGTACCAGAACACATAGATGCATACATACCCAAAACTGTCAGAAGGCTCTTGGGTAGGAAAGGAGTAGCACTGGTAAAATATATCTTTGATCACTGCAAAAGGACTACAATTTTTACAGGTAAAACACTGAAGAAACCAATTTGCAGGCTCTATTAATATACACATTTAGAATTCTAACTAGCTCTTGTAAGTACTACATCTAATATTAATACTGGTGTCAAACCATACAGTTTTATTGAAGTGTAATCAATATAAAATAATCTGTAAGAAGTACAGTAAGTGTACCATGACATAGGTATACACCTCTGAATCCATTACCATAATCAAGAGGACAAACATTTCCATCCCCACTAAGGTTTTCTCTTATTTCTTTGTCATCTATCCCTCCCTTGACCCCTGTCCCAGGCAATCACTGATCTGATTTCTGTTGTGATAGATTAGTTTGCTTTACATAAATGGAACCATACTGTATACACTTTGTCAAACTTCTCTCATTCAGCATAAGGATTTTAATGTCTATCCATTTTGCACATATCAATAATTTATTCCTTTTTACTGATGAATAGTGTTCAATAGTGTGGATTTACTACCATTTAAATACTACTACCACTGTAGATCTTCCAACTTTGTTTCTCTTTCAAAAATTTTGTGGCTACCCTAAGCCCTTTGTATTTCCATACAAATTTCAGAATCTACTTGTAAATTTCCACAGATAAGCCTGCTGGATTTTTTTCATTGAGATTACATTGAATCCATAGATCAATTTGGAGAGGAATGACATCTTAACAATATGAGTTTTCTGGGGCGACTGGCTGGCTCAGTCAGTGGAGCATCTGATTCTAGATCTCGGGATTGAGGGTTGGAATCCCACAATGAGTGTAGAGATTACTTTTAAATCTTTTTAAAAAACAATGCTGAGTTTTCTGACCCAAGAATAAGGCATGTGTTTCCATTTACTTAGGTCTTTAATTTTTCTCAGCAATGTTTTACAGCTTTTAGTGTACAGGTCTTATGCTTCCTTTGTTAAGTTTATTCCTAAGCATTTCATTGTGTTTTTTTGTTTCAACATTTATTTATTTATTTATTTATTTGTTTGTTTGTTTATTTATTTATTTATTTATTCATATAGGGAAGAACACAAGCAGGGGAGGGGAAGAGAGAGAGGGACAGAGGATCCCAAGCAGGCTCTGCGCTGACAGGCTGACAGCAGAGAGCCCAATGTGAGTCTTGAACTCTCGAACCTCAAGGTCATGACCTGAGCCAAAGTCCAACACTCAACTGACTGAGCCACCCAGGTGCCCCCTCAAACTTTTATTTAAGTTCTAGTTAGTTAACATATACTGTAATATTGGTTTCAGGAGTAGAATTCAGTGATTCATCACTTACGTATAACACCCAGTGCTCATCGTAACAAGTACCCTCCTTAATACCCATCACCCATTTAGCCCATCCCCTATCCACCTCCCTACATCAAACTTCAGTTTGTTATCTATAGTTAAGAGTCTCTTATGGTTTGCTTCCCTCTCTTGTTTAACCCACTTGTCCATCTGTTTTGTTCCTTCAATTCTACATATTCTACATATGAGTGAAATTATATGGTATTTGTTTCTCTGACTTTTTTCACTTAGCATAATACATTCTAGCTCCATCCACATCATTGCAAATGGCAAGATTTAATTCTTTTTGATGGCTGAGTAATATTCCATTGTATATATGTACCATCTCTTCTTTATCCATTCATCAGTCAGTGGACATTTGGGCTCTTTCCATAGTTTGGCTATTGTTGATAATGCTGCTATAAACATTGGGGCGCATGTGCCCCTTTGAATCAGTCTTTTTGTATCTTTTGGGTAAATACCTAATAGTACAGTTGCTGGATGCTAAGGTAGTTCTACTTTTTTTTTTTTTTTTTTTTTTTTTTGAGAGAGAGAAACAGAGCATTCAAGCATAAACAAGGGAAGGACAGAGGGAGAGAGGGGGAGAGAATCCCAAACTGGCTCCATGCTCAGCACAGAGCCCAACAGTCTGAAGGGGAATCATGACCTGAGCTGAAATCAAGAGTCAGACGCTCAACCAACTGAGCCACCCAGCTGCTACAGATTATTTGCTTTTTGGATGGTGAGTCTGAGAAATTTTTTATAGATTTTGGATACTGTTTATCAAATATGTCATTTACAAATATCTTCCATTCCTTAAGCTGCCTTTTAATCTTGTTGATTGTTTCCTTCACTGTGCAGAAGCTTTTTATCTTGATGAAGTCCCAATAGTTCATTTTTGCTTTTGTTTCCCTTGCCTCCAGAGACCTGTCTAGTAAGAAGTTGCTATGGCCGAGGTCATAGAAGTTGCTATGGCTGAGGCCGAGGCCGAGATTGCTGCCTATGTTCTTCTCTAGGATTTTGATGGTTTCCTGTCTCACATTTAGGTCTTTCATCCATTTTGAATTTATTTTTGCGTACAGTGTAACAAAGGGGTTCAGTTTCCTTCTTCTGCATGTCACTGTCCAGTTTTGTCAACACCATTTGTTGAAGAGACTGTCTTTTTTCCATTGGATATTCTTTCCTGCTTTGTCAAAGATTAGCTGACCATATCATTGTGGGTAAGCATTTCATATTTTAATGTTTTTAATGAATGGTATTTAAATTTTTTTTCAATTTCTGATTGTTGCTAGTATATAGAAGTACAATTGATATTTATGTATTGACCTGTATTCTGCAATCTTGCCAAATTCACTTATTAGTACTAGTAGATTTCTTACTGATTCCTTCAGAAAAAGTTTTACTTTTTCTCTTCCAATTTATAAACTTTTGTTTCTTTACTTGCCTTATTGCAGTAGCTCTGACTTCCAGTAAAATGTTCAACTGAAGTGGTAAGGACAACTTTGTCTTGTTTCCAATCTAATGGGGAAAAAGCACTTAGTCTTTCATTTTTAAGTATGATATTAGCTATAGGTTTTCAGGACATGCCCTTTATTAATTAAATGAATTTCCCTTCTATTCCTGGTTTGCTGAGAGTGTTAGCATAAGTGGATACTAATTTTGTCAAATTATTTTTATTGAGATGATCAAATGTTTCTCTTTTTAAGTCTGCAAAAGTTGTGAACTACATTGTTTGACTTTTCAAATGGTAAACCAACTTCGCAGCCCTGAGATAAACCCTCCTTGGTTATGAAATATTATTATTGTTTTTATAAATTATTGGGTTTGATTTGCTAGAATTTTAAATCCATGTTTGTAAGGAATATTGATATATAGACAATAGTTGTTGTTGTTCTTGTTACCTTGAAATGTCTTTGGTTTTGGTGTTAGGCTAATGCTTGCCTCTGACAATTTCTGCCTTTACATTGTGTGTTTAGACCATTTACATTTACTGTAATTGTTGATATAATTGAGTTAAAATTTATCATTTTTCTTTTTGTTTTCTATTTGTCTCATCTGTTGTTTGCTTTTTATTCTGGTCCTATCTTCTTTTGTATTAATCAGAACACTTTCGATGATTTTATTTTGTCTTCTTTATCTGCTTATTAGCAATACATGTTGTTTTTTTAAATGACTGCATTAGAGGGGTGCCTGGGTGGCTCATTTGGTTAAGTGTCCCACTCACGATTTCTACTATGATCTTGCAGTTGGTGAGTTCAAGCCCCACATTGGGCTCTGCACTGACAGTGCGAAGTCTGCTTGGGATTCTCTCTCTCACCCCTCTCTTTCTGCCCCTACCCAACTCACGCTCTCCCTCTCAAAATAAATAAATAAACTTTAAAAAAAAATGGCTGCATTAGAGTTCATAGTATACATCTTTAACTCATCACAGTCTACCTTACGTGATATTATACTAATTCACATATAGTATAAAGACCTTACCACCATATACCTCCTTTTGTCCCGACCCAGTCCTTATGCTATTGTTGTCATATGTATTTACTTCCACGTGTATTATAGACCCCACAATACATAGCTATTATTTTTTGCTTTAAATGGATCATTATTTTAAAGATAACTTTAAAGTAAGGGAAAAGTCTTTTATATTTATCCCCACATTTGCCATTTCTAGTGCTCCTCATTTCTTTGTATAGATCCATATTTACAGTTGGTTATCATTTACCTTGTACCTGAAGAGCTTCCTTTTTCCGTTTTTCAGCTGGTGTACTGGTGATGAATTCTCTCAGCTTTTCTGTGTCTAAAAATGTCTTTATTTTGACTTCATTTTTAAAAGATTTTTGCTGGGTCTAGGATTCTATGTTAATGGTTTTATCTTTCAGTAGTTTAAGGATATTCTATGTGCACTCTGGCACCGCTCCTGTCATCCTTACTTTTGTTTCTCTGTATTTGTATCTTGTTTCTCTGGCTCCTTTTAATATTTTCCTTTTTTTAATGTTTTTATTTATTTTTGAGGGAGAGAGTATGAGTAGGTGAGGGACAGAGAGAGAGGGGGACAGAGGATCTAAAGCAGGCTCTGGGCAAAAAGCAGCAATCCCATGCTGGGCTCGAACTGACCAACCATGACATCATGACCTGAGCCGAAGTTGGACACTCAACTGACTGAGCCACCCAGGTGCCCCTGCTTGTATTATTTCCTTTTTGTTACTGGTCCTCAACAATTGCGTTTTGATTGGAATTGCTGTGTTTTGTTTCATTTTTCTCTTGCTTGGGATTTTTTTAGTTTCTTGGATCTGTGAGTTTATACTTCTCATCATAAATAGAAAATTTTGGGTTATGATTTCTTCATATATGCATTCCATTCATCAATCTTTCTCCTCCCCTTTGAGACTCTAAGGACACATACGTTAGGCTGCATGGTGTCCTGCAGTTCAGTGATGCTTTGTTCTTTTTTACCCCAGTCTTCTATCTTTCTGTGTTTCATTTTGAATAATTTCTATTATTGTGTCTCCAAGTTTACTAATCTTTTTTTTTTTTTTTAAGTAATCTCCAATACCCAACGTGGGGCTCAAACTCATGACCCTGAGATCAAGAGTGGCATACTGTACTGACTGAGCCAGCTGAGCACCCTAAACTTACTAACATTTTATTCAGCAGTGTCCAATCTGCTGTTAATCTCATTCAGAGTATCGTTCATTTTAAGCATTGCTTCTTTTTTCATCTCCAGAAGTTTGATTTGGGTCCTTTTAAGATCTTACATACCTCTTATCATGCTCACACTTTCCTCTAACTTTTTGAAGATATGGAGTTGTATTATAATAGCTGTTTTAATGTTCCTAATTAATTTAACTAATTCTGTCACCTGTGTCATTTCTGGGGCTGTTTCTATTAATTTTTTTTTCATTATAGGCTGTATTTGCCTGCTTGCTGGAATGCCTTCTAATTTTTTATGGCATGCCATTGTGCTGTGGTTTTCTTGTATAAACATTTTTGGGCTTTGTTCTGGGATACATTTATGTTACTTGGAAACAGTTTGAGCCTTTCAAGTCTCACGTTTAAGCTTTGTTGGGCAGGTCCAGAAGAGCCCTTCATTTACGGCTTATTGGCCCAACTGCTAAGGTGATAACCTTCTGAAGACTCTACTCGATGCCCTACATATGAGGTCTTTCCACTCTATCTGGTTGGAACACAAATTATTCCTGACACTGTGTGACTCCCAAGTTTTGTTGTGCTTCTTCTTTTCCAGTGATTTTTTTTCCTCTGGCCCTGGTAGTTTTCTCACATGCCTGTACCGATCAGTACTCAGCTGAAGACTCAAGAGGTACTCTCCCAAGCTCTTCTTTTGTGCAGCTCTCTCCTCTGGTTTTCAACCTGAAATTCTGATGTTTTCACCTCCCAGATCTTCCAACTCTGTTTCCTCTGCTCAGAGAGGTGACCGAGCTTTGCTTGGGTTCCTCCTCCCTATGCTGCAGCCTGAAAAGATCTGCAGCCAGAGCAATTATAGGAATCACCTTGTTTATTTCCTTCTCTGAAAAATCTCTGTCCTGCACTGCCTGCTCTTTGATCCCTGAAAACTATGACTTCATACATTTTGTCCAGTTTCTAAATTATTTTAGGTGAGAGACTAATTCTGGTCTCTGGTGATAGCAGATATCATACCATATATTTTTTTTATTTCCTAATTTAAGTTTTTTGAATCATTTCTCAAGATGGAAGAAGCTAATAAAGTGGGAAAGGCAAAAAAGCCTGAAATGAACAATTAAGAAACGCAAGAAACAATCACGATACTTTGACAAAATGTAGTACTAGCTAATAACTAAATACCCAAAGCCTTTTAGAAAACATGTCAAAAACCCTTTTAATCATTACCATATCTCAACTTTACAGCTTCAAGTATTAAACAGACTCTAGCACTGGCAGCTTTTTGAAAACCCACCCTTCAGTGCAATTTTACCTGTAAGTAAAATTGGAAAATTTTTCTTTAAATTATGAAAGATATTGAGCATGAAACTTAATTTTCAAGTGACCAGATTTTACTCTAATGAAGCCAAAGATGAGTATGGTCGTTTTTCCAGCACAAGTTATAGAATGATAGAAGAAATTACTTTAAAAAGAAATTTTTCAGGGGTGTCTGGGTGGCTCAGTCAGTTAAGGGTCCAACTTTGGCTCTGGTCATGATCTCATGGTTCGTGAATTCGAGCCTAGCATCAGGCTGTGTGATGATGACAACTTGGAAACTGGAGCCGGTTTCAGATCCTGGGTCTCCCTCTTTTTCTCTGCCCCTCCCCCGCTCATGTGCGCGGGCTTTCTCTCTCTCTCAAAAATAAATAAACATTAAAAAATTTGTAATAAATAAAAAAGAAAAGAAAAATTTCATGGGTTCCTGGGTGGCTCAGTTGGTTGAGTGTCTGACTTTGACTCAGGTCATGATCTCATGGTTTGTGAGTTTGAGCCCTGCGTCAGGGTCTATGCTGACAGCTTGGAGCCTGGAGCCTGCTTCAGATTCTGTGTCTCCCTCTTTTTCTGCCCCTGCCCTGTTCTCACACACACTCTCTCTCTCTGTCTCAAAAATAAACATTTAAAAAAATGAAAGAAAGCTTTCAAAGTGAAATAATAAATATATTTTCCCCTGTGAGGGGGAAAATCACCTCAGATGAGTTATCTCACTTTTTCCAAACAAAGAAATAATCAGGCTGACCAAAGGCATGGAAAGTTTCAAACACACATAAAGGGTGGTACAACTGAAAAGGGCTTGTAATACAGCAAGCTGGCCACCAGGCTTAATCACCTAAAAGCTGTATTGTCAGCATTCCTGTCGAATGGATGAATGAGCCCAGAAAGATACTTCTGATAAAAAAAAAGGAAGGCATAGTAGAAATGTTACTATGTAAGAGTGCCAAAAGGCAAGAGAGGTGGTAATTATCCTTCACTAATCACCTAAAAATACAGCATCTTCTCCTTTTTGAGGGTCCCAATGATCCCCACCTGCTGACTTTCGCATCTTTCTGTTATTCCCTCCCATTGTGTGTTGGCTGGACCCAGTGACTTGCTTCTCATGAATAGAATATGGCAAAAGTGATGGAAAGGTGTGTCTGAGATTAGTTTACAAAAGACTATGACTTCCATCTTCCTCTCTCTCTCTCTTGCTCTCTCACTTGCTCATTGTGATGGAGGAGACTGCCATGTTGTGAACCGCTCAGTGGTTAGGTCTAGGTGGCAAAGAACAGAGGGCAGCTTCCAGTCAACAGTCAGAGAGGAACTGAGGCCCTTAGTGCAACATACTGAGAGGAACTAAATCCTACCAATGTCCTCCGAGTAAGATAGAAGTGGATCCACCTCTAGTCAAGCATTAAGAACACTAAAAACACTGCAGCCACAGCTAACACCTTGACTGCAGCCTTGTGAGAGACCCAGAGTCAGAAGACCCAACTAAGCCATGTCTACCTTCCTTACCCATAGACGCTATAAGAGAGTAAATGTCTATTGCTTTTATTCATGAAGTGGTAACTTGTACAGCAATAGAAAACTAATATAGATTCCATATGATACATAGTAACTTATCCCTAACTCAAATTTCACTTAAGAAGAAGTGAATATGCATCTGAGAAGATTTATTCTTTACCCAGTCAAGGTAGTTATTGTCCAGAAAAAGCTTAGATACATGCCAAGTGATTGTATCATGATCTCACTTCTGAGTTTAGAAATTAATCTGAAAGAATTGTAGTTTCCAGTCATATTTTTCCATTAAGAAACTATGAGGTTCTATTTTTATGAGCCATAAGTACAATTTTCCACTATTCTGAAAAATAATATACTCCTAGCTCTGTAGTAACTATGGTTGATTCCGGAAATAAGTATTCTGTAGTGGAAATTATCAGAACTGTGTATTTGAATAGACCTAGCTATTTAAATAAACAGCCACCATTTTGTGAAAATTCAGAAGGAGAACAAATGATCTGACAATTCTCATAAATAGTTCATTTAAGAAATTATTCTCGGGGCACCTGGGTGGCTCGGTCAGTTAAGCATCCAGCTCGTGATTTCAGCTAAGGTCATGATCTCACGGTTTGTGAGACTAAGCCCCAAGTGGACTCCTTGCTGACAACAAGGAGCCTGCTTGGGTTTCTCTCTCTCCCTCTCTCAGTCTGCCCCTACCCCCCTGCACAGAGATGCTCTCTCTCTCTCAAAATAAGTAAGTAAACTTTTAAAAGAGTTATTCTCAAACTAGTGGATATATTGATGTTTCTATAGTTCTTTAAAATCTACTTCTAGATTTTATATGCTCTTTGGTGTATATGATACATTTTACAATAAAAACCAAGTTAAAAAAATCAAACAAGCCTTCTGCCTTCTTCTGATATTTAAGACTTTATTTAAAAGTCAAGCTGTAAAGGGTGCATATGGTAGTCATCTGAAAAAAGATGTGCCTTCTAAGCTTCTATTAAGTTTAACATACTTTAGTTCTCCTAAAATTTTTTAAGTTACCTGTTTACCAAAGATCCAACCACTCAGGTCCTCCAAAATTAATCCTTTTGTTTTGTTTTGTTTATTTTTGACGGGGGTGGGGGAGGGGCAGGGAGAGAGAGAGAATCTTAAGCAGGCTCCATGCCCAGCATGGCACCCAGTGCGGGGTTTGAATCCTACAACCCTGGGATCGTGACCTGCGTGGAAATCAAGTCAGATACTCAACAGAATGAGCCACCCAGGTGCTTTTTAGTCCTTTTGTTTTAAAAGATAAAGGTGAAAAAGCAAAAAATAAAGAGAAGCCACACAATAAGAAAAAAGGTAAATTGCTTCTGCAGTTACCTCCTTTTTTCATCTGCCACAGGTTTAAACATTTGTCTACATGGATTGATCTCTTCCTTTTCTCAAATATTCAGTCAGAATACCTGAATCTCAGAATTCAGATCAGATCAGTCTGAATCTCAGAATTCAGTCAGAAGGGCTACTTCTGACACTGATATTATGAACCCCACTATGCATTTATTACTCATTCTGAGTATTACTATTAATATCATCATTCATTGAAGCAGTAATGCATGCTACCACTTTAAAGTTTGGAATTAGATTAAATTTGCAACTCTGTTGGCACATCTGGATTGTTTTACAACTGGATGCCTTTGGGGCTTTTGTTTATAGTATTTTATAAATGCAATGCTGTTTTGGTTTTTATTTTTTTACTCTTTTTGAATTACGGCTTTAGTTTTCATTCATTCAGAAAATATTTATAGACCTTTTACTACATATCTGGAACTATTTAAGATAGGTATGCAGCAGTGAACAAGATAAGCAAGGTCACAGTCTTTTTGGGGTGTATATCTTTTTTTTAAGTTTATTTATTTTTGAGAGAGGGAGCGTGAGCAGGGGAGAGGTGGGGGGGGGGGGCGGGGACAGAGGATCCAAAGCAGGCTCTGTGCTGACAGCAACAAGCCTTTGCAGGCTCAAACCCAAGAACCGCGAGATCATGACCTGAGCTGAAGTCGGACGCTCAACCGACTAAGCCACACAGGCGCCCCGTAGGGTGTATATCTTAACTGGGAGAGGAGTGGAGGTGGAGGGTGCTAGGCAAGTAAAATAAATTACCAACTGAAGTTTTGCACTACATAATATTTTTCTTTTTTTAATATTTTACTTACTGTCATTTATTTATTTTTATTTTAGAGAGAAAAAGAACATACAAGTGGAGGAGAGGGGCAGAGGGAGAGAGAGAGAATCTTAAGCAGGCTCCACACTTAGTGCAGAGCCCAATGAGGGGTTTGATTCCTCGACCCTGGGATGATGACCTGAGCTGAAATCAAGAGTCTGACACTTAACTGACTGAGCCACCACCACTATATATATATATACACTATATAGCATAGTATATACTACATAGGTATACTATTTACTATACAGTATACCTGTATATTACTATTTAGTATACAGTATACCTGTATATTTACTATATAGTAGTATAGTAAATTTACTATACAGTATTTACTATACAGTATACCTGTATATTACTATATATATATATGTGTGTGTGTATATATATATATACACACATAAATATGTGTGTGTGTGTGTGTATACATATATACACACACACACATATATATGTAGGTCATGAATACATATATATACATGTATATATGTATATACTGATACAGATTTGTAAAAGTGACAATAATACACTCATGCTCCCTTCTCTAAGTGTGTCTTAACAGATTAAACCACACACTTATGACATCTATACATTATATAATCAACATCTTAAATAACAGCTTTGAATCTCTCAATGATAGGTTGCACTGCATGAAAAATCAAGATATAGGCACTTAATGCCATACTCATTAAAACAAGGAGGGATTAACTCTCATCATGTATATACTCAAATCAAAGTTAATGCCACTTGGTTTTCTTTTTCTTTCTTTTAATAAAAATTATATAGTTTGCCATTAAATATCTTTGAGTAGACCTGATCTTTCAGGTCATGAATATTTTTTTTTAATTTTTAATATTTATTCATTTTTTGAGAGACAGAGACAGTGCAAGCAGGGGAGGGCAGAGAGAGGGAGACACAGAATCCGAAGCAGGCTCCAGGCTCTGAGCTGTCTGCACAGAACCCGACGCAGGACTCAAACTCATGAACCGTGAGATCATGACCTGAGCTGAAGCCAGATGCTTAACCTACTGAGCCGCCCAGGTGCCCCTCAGGTCATGAATATTTAATGAAAGTAACAAAATTAGTTATCATCTTTGAAGGGGAGAAAATTCAGGTAAGAAAAGACCTATTCTGTCCACCTACAGTAGACTGCTTAATACTGCAAGGAAGGCATTTAGCAAGAGCACACTGGAGATAAGAAGTGCCCAGGGCTTTCTCCTCTTTGATCTACATATTGTGCTTCATGTGCCAAGGGTGTGACACCATCTTAAACACAATCTTACCTTTCCCCCCTCAGACACCAAATTGACAGGGTAGAATAGATGGAGCACTATATCTCTTTTCTGCTATGGCATACCAGGGAGAAAAATCTCTATTATGTAATTTTCTGTATCTTCAAAACAAATCAAGCTTCAAACAGGAAATATTGTCACCCCTAGAAAAGTTCTACCCATCAGAATATGAGATCCTCATATGTTGCTGATAGTAGTGTCATAAAAGCCTTAAAATGTTTAAAGACCTTGACTAAGCACTTCCATCTCTGGGAACTTAAGAAAATAACCAGATATTTATAGAATTACTTACATATGATGGTTCATCACAGTATTGTTTATAATGGTTAAACATTGGAAACAAACTAAATGTCTAATAGAGATTAAGGACAGAGCAACCATATTCTGAAATGATAATCAGAAGTAGAAGAATATGTCAGAATGTGAATAAATATTCACAATGTATTGTTAGGTTAAAAAATGAGGTTACAATATATAGAAAAGTGTTTAATTGAAAATCAAATGTCAGTAAATGTCACAGATTTCACAGTAGACAGCAGTAAGCCAGTCACTCGTTTCAGACATCACTCTAAATCAGAATACTTATGTAAGGAACAATCCAAAGTTAAGCTCTTAGATAATGTGCATGCTATTATGCTTCAGAAGATTCAGGGGATACATTTTTGGACAGTTATCAGTAATTTCAATATGTTCCTTTTTTACATTGACCCTATTTGAGATTTGTGACTAGCAAATATTAATGTATCTCTGCTCTTAAATCACGAAATTCATTTATTCCTTGTGGATATGTGAAATCACGTGGTTGCTTGTTTCTGCTTGAACAATATGAAATGCCTTTCTTCATTAGGTGGGATTCATGCATCTAATTTTCCATGGAAGATTAATGACAGCATAATATACAATATATGAGTAAAACCTAAATGGAGATGCTGTTCACGGTAGACTTGTAACATTGATATCATTACCTTGAAATTGGTGTTTAGGGCCTCATTCTTCTGCATTTTGTATGACTAAGAAATATTTTGAATTTTATAAATAAAATGTTATACCAATTGGTCTTGAAAGAAAAAGTGGTGCCAATCTATTAAAATACTGATGCATCTTTATAATAGTAATAGATAGAAGTAGAGAATATTAGTTGATGTGGTTGAAATGAAGAAACCTTCACAGATATCAGTAGAAGATAGCTAGCTAACTCTTTCCTAAAAAGGCATACAGGGGCGCCTGGGTGGCACAGTCGGTTAAGCGTCCGACTTCAGCCAGGTCACGATCTCGCGGTCCGGGAGTTCGAGCCCCGCGTCAGGCTCTGGGCTGATGGCTCAGAGCCTGGAGCCTGTTTCCGATTCTGTGTCTCCCTCTCTCTCTGCCCCTCCCCCGTTCATGCTCTGTCTCTCTCTGTTCCAAAAATAAATAAACGTTGAAAAAAAAATTTAAAATAAAAAGGCATACAATTGTACATCAACATTTCTTAATAATTACTTCAGGCCTGAAAATTATTGAAATCCTTACTCCTAGGTCATTATATTAGAACAAGAATGCTTCTTGAATGCTTATAATCTATATTTTGAACAAGGATTATACAGTGGATTTGAAATTTAAAAAAAAAAAGAGGTCACAGAGTATTATATAGAATATGATCCCAATTACACATGTGTTTGTGTATATGTGTATAAATGTACATATAAATAAAAATGTTTAAAGTTATATGCCAGATGTAAACAGTGATTATCTCAAAGGTGGCTTTTTTCTTTCTTTCTTTCTGCTTTTCTGTGTATTTCAAACTTTTTTTTTTAATGTTTATTTTATTTTTGAGAGAGAGAGAGACAAAGCGTGAGCAGGCGAGGGGCAGAGAGAGAGAGAGACACAGAATCTGAAACAGGCTCCAGGCTCTGAGCTGTCAGCACAGAGCCGGATGCAGGGCTTGAACCCATGGACCACGAGATCATGACCTGAGCCAAAGTGAGATGCCTAACTGACTGAGCCACTAGGTGCCCCTGCATATTTCAAACTTTTAAGAATGAAAAGCTGGTAGGGGCGCCTGGGTGGTTCAGTCAGTTGAGTGTCTGACTTGGGCTCAGGTCATGATCTCACGGTTCATGGGTTTGAGCCCCATGTTGGGCTCTGGGCTGACAGCTCAGAGCCCGGAGCCTACTTAGGATTCTGTGTCTCCCTCTCTCTCTGCCCCTCCCCCACTCGTGCTCTGTCTCTCTCAGCCTCTCAAAAATAAAGAAACGTAATAAAAAAAATTTGTTTAAAGAATGAAAAGTTGGTATTCCTTTTGTTGTCAAAGAAAAGTACAGCAATTTTTAACAAAGTTCTACTTTCCTGAAGTTCCATTATTCTCATTTGGCATCACTCTTCCCATCCTCACTTTCTGAATGTCTATATATTGTCTATATCTTCGTAGTATCAATTGTCAATGTCTGATATTTATCAGAGATTCACCATTATAGGATTACGAGCTTCCAATTTTTCTCAAGGTACCTCTCCATTTAACAAGTATTTGCTAAATTAAACTAAATACATTTATCTTTCTGTTAGCCTAGCCTCTGTGACAGAGCTGCAAGGTAGAACTGTGTGTAATGGGGGCTTCAGGAGTAGGAGGGATAAATTAATATTATGCCAAATATTAATGCCAAACACTTAATAATTTCTTTGCAAAGCAATATTACAAAAATGCAATGCTGTATGCCAAGGTGAAATAGAAAATGTTCCAGAAAGGAGTGGGAACATTGGGAAGCCAACTAAACAGAAAAGTGTTGGGGCCCCTCCCCCAGAAAAAATCTTAAGGGTCTGGGAACTCTTTCTTTTTTTGCTTCTTCCTTCCTTTTTTTTTTTTTTTTTTTAAGCAGTTATTATTTTTAGTTACTTATTTCCTTTTGGGCAACTCTATAGTGAGAAAAGTTTTTTCTTTCCCCCTAGCTCAAAGTTTAGGTATCAAACATGTGAATGAGCCAGTGCCTTCTCTCAGGGAGAGTGCAGCTCCAGGGAATGAAGACCAGGGATCTCTAGCTATCAATCTTGGGGGTGGTCCTAGAGAGTTAGAGCCTGTGCCTATTGAGAGAGACCGGAAGCCAAACCAGTGTGTGGGTCCGGAAGAGACCCAAAGACTAAGAATGGTCCTTGGTCACCTGTGGTGCTAGGAGTGAGATCACAGAGAAACAGCATGCAGCATCATTGACTGGCCAATTATTGGATTTAGGGATTAGCAGCAAAAACAAAACAGAACACATTGGGGACAACAGCATACGCATCTGAGGTGGTGACAGAGCTGGGATCTCTATTCTCAGGAAATTAGTTATTAAAATGGCCCTTTATGGGGCGCCTGGGTGGCTCACTCGGTTAAGCATCCGACTTCAGCTCAGGTCATGATCTTGTGGTTCATGGGTTCCAGCCCTTCATTGGGCTTTGTGCTAACAGCTCAGACCCTGGAGCCTGCTGTGGATTCTGTATCTCCCTCTCTCTCTGCTCCTCTCCCCACTCATGCTCGTGCTCTCTCTCTCTGTCTCAAAAATAAACATTTTTTAAAAATAATAAAAATAAATAAATAAAATGCCTCTTTACTGGGCACCTGGCTGGCTCAGTCAGTGGAACATGTGACTCTTGATCTCAGGGTTATGAGTTCGAGCCCCACATTGGGTGTAGTGATTACTTAAAAATAAAACCTTTAAAATAAAATAAAATGCCCCTCTGCAGAAGAAATTACCAAAAAAAAAAAAAAAGACACAATACAGGTTTAGGGGAGGACAAGAGTAGGGGGAGTTACATGTGTACATAACACAGGACTGTGTTATCATCCACAACCCCACCACAGAGAGTTGGGGTGCAGCCACCAGTGGCAGACAACTTTCATCAAAAAGTAGACAGCTGTAACTTTAAGTCTCCAATGTGCTAGCCAGGGTAAGAGCCACTACTTCCATTAAGAGAACATAAAACTGAAAGCTGCAAATGACACTTTTTCTATTCTGTGCTTTGCTTTCCAGCAAGTCACGTGTTTATCAGACTTCTCTTTATTTAAAACTGGGTAATACTTCTTTCTCACCTTGCAGGTGCCTCCTGAAATACAGTCAACACAATGCTGTGCTTTGGCTACTTGTGTTTTTTAAGAATAAACCAAAATCAGCAATTTTAATCAACCACATTGGACCAGATTGGGAGAGAAAGACTAATGTGTTCCAATTGCCTCGTTCCTCTTTATGACCAAGCAGGAAGTTTCAGAGCAAACCTCCACCTCTCAGGAAGTTTACGTCAAAATGAGTATTGACATCCTGTTTAATAGAGTCTTAAATTTTTTCCTCACTTCCAGACACTCACCATTTGAATTAAAATGTTTGAGTAATCTGTCCTGAAATTATGTTTCCTTTGACTCTCAGAAGACTATGTCTAAGTGACAAATGGAATATCTCTATGACTAATAATGATAAAAGTTAAAGGTTTTTTTTTAGTAGTAAGTACCTGTAATTATAACTCTTATTTATATCAGTATTCCCTACCCCTTATTCATTTGATCTTTCAAGTAGGCCCTTGTTAATTTTATTCTGATTCATTAGTTATGCCACCAATACACTAAAAACAAGCAGATGAAACCCTGAGTAGAACATTCTGGTGCTTCCCTCCAGGACATACTATGTAATACTGAAGTGAGAGAGGTGAGGTGCTGGTGGCTCTGGATCCTCTAGAAACCGGCTGTATGATTTGGCTGAGTCTCATAACCTCTCTGGCTTCAGCTTTCTCACCTGAAAATGAGGTGTGTGGTTAAATGATTGTCAGTACATCCTGTGCAATTGTACGATGGAGAAGTGGAAATCTTTATCTCAGATACTGTAAAGTCATACTTCTTAAATTAAAAAAAAAAAAAAGTACTCTAAGTGTAAGCCTCAGTTTGCATCTTCCTAAGTGTATTGGTTAGGATTCTTTAGGGTTGAAAGTAACGGAAATCCAAATGGACCTTATTTAGATAAGAAGGCAAATCTATTTTAAAGATATAGAAGCATCTCACAGAACTCAAGGACAAATAGTCAACTGCACATAAGGAACCAGGAAGACAAATGTCCAAAGCACTCTCCTTCTCCAGTCTCCCCCTCTCTTTGTACATGTGCTTCATTCCACCTCCTCTCTGTAGACTAGGTTCTTCTGCTTCCCTTGACCACATCATGAAAAAGAGGACAGCCTGGAAGCTCTTGAGTTTAAAAGTTATAGTCCAGGCATAAAAAGAGAAATGGCTCATTTAGTCCAAATACCATAATTTAGTCCAAATTCCATATCCAGAAAAGGCTCTGATTTGTCTGTATTAGGACAGATGCCCACCCCTGGACTAATTGACTGCCATGTAGGTTTGAGGCCAGTTAGATGGAACATAACAGCTTTCACCAGAATCCTGAGGGAAAGTAGAGAAATTTTTAGAGATGGGAAATAAATAGAAAATCCAACAGACATTCTTGCACTAAAATTCCACTTAACACAATAGTATTTTTTCATTTTGAAATAATTATAGATTCACAGGAAGTTGAAAAATTAGAACAGAGAGGTTCCACCTAGTTTTCCTCAGTAGTAGCATTTTACATAACTATAGTATGATATCAAAAGCAGGAAATTGACATTGGTATAATCCATAGAATTTATGCAGATTTCACCACCTTTACAGGCACTCATTTGTATGCGTGTATAAAAATCTATGCAGATTTATCACATCTTTATAGATTTGTGTAACCAACACCATCATCAAGATACAGAACAATTTGGTCAGCACAAAGACCCCGTGCACAAATGCACAGTTCATTTAATTTTCATGAAGTAAATTCACCCATGCAATTCAGTGCAAGAAACAAAATCACCACCATTTCAGAAGACCTCCTTATACCCCTTTTCAGTCATTACTCTCCGTTAAGAGTGAATCACATATTATGTACTCTTTTGTATCTGACTTCTTTTGCTCAATATTATGTTTGTGGCATTCATCTATAATTGCTTTATATAATTATGGCTCACTCATTCTTTAAGGAGCTTAATTTTAACATTTTTTGAGGTTATATGACATACAGTAATCTGTACATTTTCAAAGTGTACAATTTGATGAGCTTTGATATATGTACCTATATCTGTAGCAATACCACAATCAAGATAATGAACATATCTACTTCCTCAAAATATTCCATGAATTTTTCAATTTTTTTTAATATTTATTCATTTTTGAGAGACAGAGAGAGACAGCGAGTGAGCAGGGGAGGGGCAGAGAGAAAGACACAGAATCTGAAGCAGGCTCCAGGCTTTGAGCTATCAGCACAGAGCCCAAAGCAGAGCTCAAACCCACCAACCATGAGGTCATGACCTGAGCCGAAGTCGGACACTTAACCAACTGAACGTCCACCAGGCACCCCTATTCCATGAATTTTTTAAACTAAGAATGGTTGGAAAAAAGTGAACTTCTTAGGGCTACATTGACTTTCAAATCTTTTGTGGAAGGTTGGGATAATTACTTTTCTCTATTGTTAGGACTTCAATGAGAAAAGTTCTTATATATGTTCTATCAAAAAAATATCCTGCTTTACAAGATCATAAATCTAAATAATTATTCTAAACTGCCACCTGAAGTGGTTTTATGAAGCAATGTTACTTGTGACTGCTGGAGACAAATAGGAAATCCTGATATAAAAGCAAACACAATCCACACACACACAAACGTGTACACATACATGCATTCATGCAAAAGGACTGACTGGACCAAAATCCTGGATGCACTAAGGTCCAAACCCCAAACTGTAAATAGAATAATAGTGTTTGGAGGGCTATAGGCCAAAGGACATTTACTCATTTTATATACATATAAAACTTACATAGCACTATTCTTAAATGTGTACAAACATAGTTGTTAAAATGAACAGTTCTTCGCATTCATTGATTCACATATCCTCAAAGCTTCTCAGTAACTTTCCTTAACTGACTTGGCCCATTTTGTGAAAGGATATAAAGAACTCTGACTAAAGTTTAAGAGCAGTTCAAATGCATGAAACTGGAATTTAGTTATTCTCTTCATTCCATTGCTTAGGTCATGGAAAACTGTCCCTTGAGCTTCAAACTACTGTTGCTCTCCAGAGACAATAAGCACCACACATCTGTAGAAAAGTGGATGTACTAAATAAAGTGAGTAAAAATCTGTATATATATTATTTTGCTCTGTTCCTTTCCTATAGGCGATCTAAAAGGAAATATTTTCATATATAAACATTTACAGAACTCCCCCTGTCCCAAGTACGGGGAGCAGGGTGCAGGGGGAGGGATACAAAGACAAATAGCACAAGGTTTCTGTGCTTAGGGAGTTCGTGTGGGTTTTTTTGTTTGTTTCAAGTTTTTATTTAAATTCCAGTTAGTTAACATACAGTGTAACATTAGTTTCAGGAGTAGAATTTAGTGATTCTATATAACACCCAGTGCTCATCATAACATGTGCCCTCCTTAATCCCCATCACTCATTTAGCCCTTCCCCCCACCCACATTCCCTCCAACAACCCTTAGTTGTTCTCTATAGTTAAGAGTCTGTTTTATGGTCTGTCCCTCTCTTTTTCCCCCCATGTTCATCTGTTTTGCTTTTAAATTCCACATATGAGTGAAATCATATGGTATTTGTCTTTCTCTGACTGACTTATTTTGCTTAGCATAATAGTCTCTGGCTCCATCCACATCATTGCAAATGGCAAGATTTCATTCTTTTTGATGGCTTCATAATATGCCATTGCATATATGTACCACATCTTCTTTGTCCACTCATCAGTCGATGACTCTTTCTATAATTTAGCTATTGTTGATAGTGCTGCTATAAACATCTGGGTGCATGTATTACTTTGAATCAGTATTTTTGTATCCTTTAGGTAAATACCTAGTAGTGCAATTGCTGGGCCCTAGGGTAGTTCTATTTTTAACTTTTGGAAGAATCTCCATACTATTTTCCAGAGTTAGGGAGTTTATGTTCTAATGAACACATCTACCTACCTTATAAGGGAATAAATAGTCTTTGCATTTTTTAATTGAAATATAGTTGACATGCAATATTATATTAGTTTCAGGTGTACAACATAATGATTCAACAAGTCTATACATTACTCAGTGCTCACCACAATTATTCACCATCCCTGTCACCATACAGTGTTACAACAATATAGTTGACTATATTCCCTATGCCATACTTTTCATCCCCATGACTTATTTATTTTATAACTGGAATTTTGTACCTCTGATCCCCTTCACCTATTTCTCCATCCCCTCACTACCCCTCCACTCTGGTAACCACCAGTTTGTTCTCTGTACTTATGAGTTTGTTGCTGTTTTTGTTTTTTAGATTCCACATACAAGTGAAATCATATGATATTTGTCTTTTTCTGTCTGACTTATTTCACCTCCAAGATCTATCCATGTTGTTGTGAATGGCAAGATATCATTGTTTTTCTATGAATGAGCAATATTCCATTGTATATATTTATCACATCTTCTTTATCCATTCATCTATGATGGATACTTAGGTTACTTCCGTATTGAGGCTATTATAAATAACAATTTGGGGTGCCTGGGTGGCTCAGTCGGTTGAGCGTCCAACTTCGGCTCAGGTCATGATCTCACGGTCCGTGAGTTTGAGCCCCGCGTCAGGCTCTGTGCTGACAGCTCAGAGCCTGGAGCCTGCTTCAGATTCTGTGTCTCCCTCTCTCTCTCTGCCCCTCCCTTGCTTATGCTCTCTCTCTCTGTCAAGAATAAATAAAACATTTTTTAAAAAAAACAAACAAAAGTAAGTAAATAAATAAATAACATAATTTATGCAATAAACCTAGGAGTGCATATATCTTTTCTAAATAATGGTACTATTTTCTTTAGGTAAATACCTAGAAGTGGAATTACTGGGTTTTATGGTATTTCTATTTTACATTTTGTGAGGAAACTCCATACTATTTTCCATAGTGACTGTACCAATTAGCATACCCACCAATAGTGCATGAGAGCTCCCTTTTCTCTACATCTTCACCAACACTTGTTATTTCTTGTCTTTTTGATACTAGCCATTCTGACTGGTGTGAGGTGATATCTCATTGTGGTTTTGATTTGGATTTCCCTGTAATGAGTGATATTGAGCAAATTTTCATGTGTCTGTTTGCCATCTGTATGTCTTCTTCGGAGAAATGTCCATTCAGGTCTCCTCTGCCCATTTTTAATCAGATTATTTGGGGTTTTTTTGGTGTTGGGTTATATGAGTTCTTTATATATTTTGGATATTAACCCCTTAGATGATATATACTTTGCAAATATCTTCTCCCTTTCTGTAGATTGTATCATTTTGTTGATGGTTTCCTTCATTCTGCAAAAATCTCTTACCTTGATGTGGTCCCACCTGTTTATTTTTACTTTTTTGTTTTTGTTTCCTTTGCTTGAGGAAACATCCAGAAAAATATTGCTAGGGCTGATGTCCAAGAGATTACCACCTATGTTTTCTTTTAGGGGTTTTATGGTTTCAGGTCTTACATTTAGGTCTTTAATCCGTTTTGAGTTTATTTTTCTGTATGGTATAAGAAAGTGGTCTAGTTTTATTCTTTTGCATGTAGTTGTTCAATTTCCCCAGCACCATTTATTGAAGAGACAATCTTTTCCCCCATTTTATATTCTTGCCTCCTTTGTCATAGATTAATTGATTGTATAAGCATGGATTTCTTGCTCTATTCTGTTCCATTGATCTATATTTCTATTTTTGTGCCAGTACCATACTGTTTTGAATATGATAGCTTTGCATTTTAATTTATTTTTAATTTGTTTTTGTTTTTTATTTTTGAGAGAGAGAGTGCAAGAGCATGAGCAGAAGAGAGGGGCAGAGGGAGAGAGAATCTCAAGCAGACTCCAAGCTCAGCACAGATCCTGACATGGGCCTCAGTCCCACAACCCTGGGATCATGACCTGAGCCAAAATCAAAAGTCAAATGCTCAACCAACTGAGCCACCCAGGAGCCCTTATATATTTTTTTCTTTTTCTTTTTTTTCCCCTGTATTTTAATTTAAAACATAATGCTGTAAGTGCTAGAGTTATTTAAATTTTTTCTTGTTGAAATATGAGATGTTATAAACTAAGAAAAAAACTTGAAAAATCTGACCAAATGCAGAGACATCCAGATGCCTAAAGAAAGGATTTTTTATATATTTTTATATTTTTCATAGAGGATAATTATTAGAAATGTCTATGGCATCTCAACACATCAAGTGTCTTCCTCTGTATGCATGTCATTAACACTTGTTATTAGGATTGAAGGTGCTAGAGAGAAAGTTTGCTAATATAGACAAAATGAAACCAATAATTTGGAAGGGATTATTACAATTATTATCCTATCAAGTTTTAATCATTTAATATCAACTGGAAGTCTACCATGGGCAAGTTTTCCAAAGAGGAGAACCATTTCCAAAAATCATTCTCATTATTGACATTAAAAGGCACTTTTAAATTAATCTGTGTATGGGGCGCCTGGGTGGCTCAGTCGGTTGGGCGTCCGACTTCAGCCAGGTCACGATCTCGCGGTCCGGGAGTTCGAGCCCCGCATCAGGCTCTGGGCTGATGGCTCAGAGCCTGGAGCCTGTTTCCGATTCTGTGTCTCCCTCTCTCTGCCCCTCCCCCATTCATGCTCTGTCTCTCTCTGTCCCAGAAATAAATAAACGTTGAAAAAAAAAATTAAAAAAATAAAAATAAAAAAAATAAATTAATCTGTGTTCAATATTTATATTTTCCTATATTATGGAAACAGACTATACCCTCCACAAAGGCTCGAGGGCACCAATACAAAACCAGGTGTGTACCTAATTGTAATTATCACGCTAAAAGTCTTTTACTGTGTTATTTATTAAAGATCATCAAATTTATAGATTTTGCTTCTGTTGACATATCTTCTTAATCAATAGCATAAGTAAAATCTATTCGCATATAAAAATAAATCGTTTTAGTTTGGTAAAGTGATAAACTGTGATAAAAACCTATTCACTGTTGGTTGTGTTGGTTGGACATATTTTACCTTGTATATTGATGTCTGTTGCCAATGTGTATTCGATCAGAGTCTGTGCTCCAGAACAAAAAGCTTCCTATTGCTCCTCTAGTCACTTTCAACTTTGTAGACTCATCAGGAAGCTCTTAAGTAAATAAGCATTTAAATTGAAAGCAATGAAATTGTATTTTGTATTACCTGATACAGCTTCCACATATCCCACCTGCTCCATTCCTCTCATGTGCTGAACCCACTCTTTGTGTCCCTTACTATCAGTATCTGAGGAGTTGAACCTGCCACACAAACCAGCCCAGAACAAGACCATCTCCAGATGAGGCTGTCCCCTGCTGTACCTCACTGAAGTGATTGATAGTTGAAGAATTGTAAGGAAGAAGAGAGTGGTCAAAAGACCATAAAGACAGAGCAACATGATTTTCAGCAAGGGAAGAAAGGTAGATTCTGCATACTGTATTCTGACAAATTTAACATTAGTACCAGGAAAAAGTTGAGAATGGGTTTCCATAAATGATTTGAGTGCACTTACAGGATAGGACAGGGATCATTTGGAGCCAGCATGCGTTTACTGAAAGCAGGGTAAACCACACTAACTTTATTTCTTTTTCAGATAATATTGGTAGATTAGTGGTAAAGGAGAATGCTATATGAAGAGTATAGAACATGTCAACTCTTTGTTGACATGATGAAAAACTATGGATCAGATTATAATGCAGTTAGATCTTGCCTGAAGACTTTGGCTCCAAAAAGCAGATAAATGTTTTCTTGGACAAGTCCTTCATTTATGCTGTAGGGATCGGTCATGGTCTCTATTGCACTTCACATTTAATTAATGGTTTGATAGAAACTCACATGTATTTGGTTTGAATAGATCATATGTAGTTAAGAGTTACTAATTTGTTCATTGACACTAAAAAGTTATTTGATAAACCATTGTAAATGCCAGCATTTCTGTTAAAAATTGACTCTACAAGTATAGTTCAGGTAAACAGGTCCTTCAGCAGTATCTGAAGCAGTATCTAGAAGGACAAGAATTTTAGTAAACTACAACCTTGGGCTTTATTAATGAAAATTCAGTGTGTAGAACCAGAGAGACATTGGCCCCGTCTATTCTTGTTTGGTCAGACAACATCATATTTTCAAAACAGCATTGAGGGGTGCGCCTGGGTGGCTCAGTCGGTTACGCATCTGACTCTTGATTTGAGCTCAGGTCATGATCTCGCAGTTTGTGCAGTCAAGCTTCGTGTTGGGCTCTGTGCTGACAGTGTGGAGTTTGGGATTCTCTCTCTCCCTCTCTCTCTGTCCCACCCCTACTTACACTCTGTCTTTCTCAAAACAAATGAATAAAAATTGTAAAAAAGCATTGCTAAGCCAAAAGTATCAAAGGAGGCCAACCAGGGTAATAGGAATTTGAACCTATGTCTTATGAAACCGCTGAAGATACGGTTTTGTCAAGGGGAGAGGGATCAATATATTTTCAGGTATCTGAAAGAGAGTTATGTGGCAGATATTAAACTTGGTATTTGTGACTTTAAAGAACAAAGCCAGGATCAATATATAGAAACTACATGTAAACAAAGCTTAGCTCAATATGAGAACTTTCTAGCCATTAGAGTTGTAGGCTACTTTGGGAGGGTGTGGTAGAGAGAATAATGGTATCCACATCTTCAACCCTGAAACCCCTGAATATGTTGCTGTATATGCCAAAAGGCCATCTACTTTGTAGATGTGATTAATTTAAGAATCTTAATTTAAGGAGATTACCTGATAAGCCTATTGTAATAACAGTGGTTTTTAAAAGAAGAGAAAAAAAGAGAGAGAGAGAGAGAGAGAAAGGAATAAATAAAAGATAGAAGAGAGAGGGGCGCCTGGGTGGCTCAGTTGGTTAAGCGTCCAACTCTTGATTTCGGCTCAGGTCATGATCTCATGGTTCACAGGATCAAGCCCTGGGTTGGGCTCTGCGCAGACAATGCAGAGCCTGCTTGGGATTCTCTCTCCCTCTCTCTCTGCCCCTCCCCCATTTGCTCTCTCTCTCTCATGCACGCACTCTCTCTCAAAATAAACAAACATTAAAAAAAGAGAAATTCTGTAAAAATAAAAAAATTTAAAATGGAAGAGGAAAGAGAATCAAAGAAGGAGTAGTGATGATGGAAGCAGAGGGCCAGGGTGAAAAGGAGATATGAAAATGTTATGTTGCTGGCATTGAAGATGAAGGAAGGGGCCATAAGTCAAGGAATGCAGGGAACTTCCAGAACCCAGAAAGACAAGGAAACAGATGCTACTAGTCTCTGGAAGGAATTCGGTCCTGTCAACGCCTTGATTTGGGCCTACTGAAACTCATTTTGGATATTTGACCTCCAGGATTGTAAGATTATATTTTTGTGTTATTAAACCACTAAATTTGTGGTAATTTGTTTCAGTGATAAGGGGAAACTATGTAGGGAGTTAATAAATTTCCATTATCACAAGTATAGTAGTAAAGTAGGATGATTTTATTCTGGGGAATTGAGATTTTTGTAAAGGATTGGACTAGAATGATCTACATAGTCTTTTCCACCTGGACTGAGCCCTCTTTTTTCATTTTTTGATTATTTTTCCTTGGAGGTCTTAACCTCATAACTTCAGCTGTAACCTCTCTATTAACAATAGACAAATTCATAGCCCTAATTTCTCTTGAGTTCTAATTACACATATCTCATTAGTTGACATATTCATTTGGACATCCTGGAATCCCTTTACATCGAATATGCCTCCAGGGAGGAACAATGCTGGGATTGAGAGTTTAGAATACAGAGAGGTAAATATGGTCTTTCCTCGAAGGAGGGAAAATAAGACCAACTTCTCTTCTATAAGTGAGCAAATCCAAAATTGAGAAAAATCAGCCATGAAGAATTCTGATGACAAAATGTCAAGAGCTTTTGTGCAGCAAACTAGAGGTTTTTTAACCTAAAGGAGATAAAGATGTTTTGCCTTAAGTTGTACTTAAGTTTTTTCTTAAATGTTATGCTCTTAACAAGAAAAATTAGACTAAATAATACCTGGACCTGATCTGCATGTCGTCAACCATCTCTCTCAAGACTAGGCTGAGCCCAGTAAAATGGCAAAATGATAAACATGAGTTCAAATGGCAAAGAGCCATAGACTGTAATGGTTTAGAGTGCAGGCTCTGGAGTCAGACTGTATGGATTGGGTCACAGCTGTAATAGTTGAGCTATACTCAATATTGGACACGTAACTTTGGACAAGCTAGTTAACTTCACCTTGGTTTCTTCTTCTATAAAATGCAGATAGGTTGCCTACTCCATAGAGGTGGTATACAAATTAAAAAATACAAGCAAAGCGCTTAGAATACTTGGAACATAGCAAATGGTCAATAAATATCTTTTTTTTTTTTTAAAGAAGGTAACCATGGACACTCTTGACCATCAACCCAAAGGGAGATTCTAGTTTCCAAGTGGGATTTTTTTGCATACAAGATTTAATCCAAGGATACACTGACTTTTCCCATTGCAGCCTGACTCTGTCTAGTCCCTAATTTATGCCCTGGTAAGACATCTTTTTTGGTTTCCTAATTCCTCGATCATTTTGATCCTGACTTGATGTCAACATTCTCCCTGACATCCCAATGACTAATTTGAAACACACCACAACTCCTTTCTAGTTCCTACCCTACCTGCTCCACATGGGCAACTAGACCCACCTGTTCTTCAGGGCTTTCAGGAATGCACCATTCCTGCAGCCCTCTACTGCCTTCACCTTTCACCCCTCCTAATAAGTGCAACATTCCAGCTCTGACTTTAGTTCCAAAAGAACCTTTGGTGGTTTGGGCAAGGTATTATTAAAAAAGAGTTGAAATTGACTGAGGGAGGGGTTTTGTGTATGAGTGCTTATGCTTCTCTAAATCTTATTGAACATGATGTCCAGAATATCTCATTAGTAATTGAAGAGGTCATACTTGAAGACTATTATTCTTTTTTTTTAAATGAGCAGCAGGCAAAAGTTTATTGGAGTATAAGATCAGAAAGTAAGAATAGTATGAAAGCTCTCTTTACAGAGAGGAGGCATTTGAAAGTGAATGCCCCTATTCTTTTTTTTATTAAGTTTTTATTTTTTATTATTATTTTTTTAATTTTTTTTAACGTTTATTTATTTTTGAGACAGAGAGAGACAGAGCATGAACAGGGGAGGGTCAGAGAGAGGGAGACACAGAATCTGAAACAGGCTCCAGGCTCTGAGCTGTCAGCACAGAGCCTGACACGGGGCTCGAACTCATGAACTGCTAAATTATGACCTGAGCCAAAGTCAGATGCTTAACCGACTGAGCCACCCAGACACCCCCTTTTCATTAAATTTTTAATTTTAATTACAGTGCAGCTAACATACAGTGTTATATTAATTTCAGGTGTACAATACAGTGACTCAACAATTCTGTACATTACTCAGTGCTCATCATGATAAGTGTACTCTTGGCCGCTTTATTTCCCCCAGCCGCCACCACCGCCCCTCTGGTAATCATCAGTTTGTTCTTTATAGTTAAGACTCTGCTTCTTGGTTTGTCTCTCTCCCTCTCTTTTCTTTCCTTTGCTCGTTTGTTTGTTTCTTAAATTCCACATATGAGTGAAATCATATGGCATTTATCTCTCTCTCACTTATTTTGCTTAGCATTATATTCTCTAGTTCCATGCATGTTGTTGCAAATGGCAAGATTTCATTCTTTTCTATGGCTGAATAATATTCCATTGTATATATGTACCACATCTCTATCCATTCATCTGTTGATGGACACTTGGACTGCTTCCATAATTTGGCTATTGTAAATAATGCTGCAATAAAAATAGGGGTGCATATATCCCTTTGGATTAGTGTTTTTGTATTTTGGGAGTGAATACCCAGTAGTGCAGTTACTGGATCATAGGGTAGTTCTATTTTTACCTTTTTGAGGAACCTCCATACTGGCTGCACCAGTTTGCATTCCCACCAACAGTGCAAGAGGATTTCTTTTTCGCCACATCCTTGCCAACACTTGTTGTTTCTTATATTTTTTATTTTAGCCATTCTGACAGGTGTAAGGTGATATCTCATTATGGTTTTGATTTGCATTTCCTTGATGATGAGTGATGCTGAGCATCTTTTCATTTGTCTTTTGGCCATCTGTATGTCTTCTTTGGAAAAATATCTTTTCATGTTAAGACTATTATTCTTTTGTTGTTGTTGTGTTGCAAATGGCAAGATTTCATTCATTTTTTTTTTAAACTTACATTCAAATTAGTTAGCATATAGTGCAACAATGATTTCAGGAGTAGATTCCTTAGTGCCCTTACCCATTTAGCCCATCCCCCCTCCCACACTCCCTCCAGCGACCCTCAGTTTGTTCTCCATATTTATGAGTCTCTTCTGTTTTGTCCCCCTCCCTGTTTTTATATTATTTTTGTTTCCCTTCCCTTATGTTCATCTGTTTTGTCTCTTAAAGTCCTCATATGAGTGAAGTCATATGATTTTTGTCTTCCTCTGACTAATTTCACTTAGCATAATACCCTCCAGTTCCATCCACGTAGTTGCAAATGGCAAGACTATTATTCTTAATAAATAGATATGGTAGAAAAAACTTACAGATTATATTCTCTTATCCAAATCAAAGAATAGACTAAACAATAAGTCCATGCAACTGTAAACCAGGGACCACCATCCTCTTGGTAGCATCTGAATTATAAATATAATTTAGGCTCATAGAAAATAATACATTTTCATAAGGTTGGCCTTACCAAAATTACATCCATAACATGACCACAAATAGCCATTTTAAAGTGGTGTCCAGTGACCAATATAATGATGGAGAGAAAAGGAAAGATGTCAGTGTTGACTATAAAGTTAAAAAATAGAAATAAATTGGGGCCCCTGGGTGGCTCCGTCAGTTGGGCATAGGACTTCAGCTCACTTCATGATCTTGCAGTCTATGAGTTCGAGCCCCACATCAGGCTCTGCACTCACAGCTCAGAGCCTAGAGCCTGCTTTGGATCCTGTCTCCCTCTCTGCCCCTCCCCTGCTCACACTCTGTCTGTCTCTCTCTCAAAAATAAAATTTAAAAAACATTTAAAAAAAATGTTTTTAATAGAAATAAATGGCCATAGACGGGATGACCTTTTGTACAAGTAGTTTGCAAAACACAAGTTTATTGAAGGATTAACATTTGTATAGCACTAGACAATATACGTTTCATACAGTCTACCT